GGAAAAAAAAAAAAAAAGTTGCGATTCTTATCCAGTGAACAATGTCAAGATTTGGTCTTTTTGTTTGTTGTTGTGTTTTGGTATTGATTTGGGATAGAGGGTGTGTGGTTGAAGGCCTGGGCGTGAATTGGGGTACGATGGCGAGCCACAAGTTGCCGCCCAAGGTCGTGGTGCAGATGCTGAAAGACAACGAAATAAAGAAGGTGAAGCTTTTCGATGCGGAGCAGTCAACGATGAGCGCATTGGCCGGCACCGACATTGAAGTTATGGTTGCGATCCCTAATGACCAGCTATCTGTTATGGGGAGTTACGACCGAGCTAAGGAATGGGTCAGGCGCAATGTCACCCGCTACAGTTTCAATGGCGGTGTCAATATCAAGTACAACTTACCCTTTCTTTTTCTCTATTTATTCATTAATCTGTCCCTTTTATTAGAAATTTAATCTGGTTTTAAAAATTCCATTTTTGGAGGGTTGTTTGGGATAATGTTTGGTCTGTGTTTTAGCAGAGCTTCATTGGGTTTGTTGTATGATTTGATTGTAATATAATATCTCTTAATCTGGGATATTGATTCTGATCAGCTGAAAAGATTATGACTAACTTTTAAATATTCATCTGTGTTTACATCATTTTTCCAAATAAAGGATCTTGCTGGCTTTAGTGTTTTTTGTCATGTTAAGTCAATGGTTGAAACAAGTTGGTATTTGAAAACTGACATGGAGCCAAATGATTTAAAATGTAAATTGTCTTACCGTTTTCCTTAACAAAATAGTTTGAACTGTACTAATAATCCAACTTAGTCATAGCAATGCATCAGATTCTAAACTTACACCTACTCAGAGTCGGAGAAGAGTGGACACAAATTTACTTTAACATTTGTCTTCTTTGACTTTTACAAGTTTGCTTTAACCTTTTTTCCGAAACTGGTGAATCTGATTCCGGAATTGATCCCCAATCGAAATGGAGTAAAGGAGGTGTTGGGTTGGGTTGGGTTGGGTTTAGCTGCTAAAAAAAACATACATGTATATATATCTGTATATATGTTTGCTCTGCGTATGTGTTTATCGAATAGTGGAACAATATGACAAACTTGATGAAATGCCCTTTCCAATTCAATAATGTACGTTTTCTTCGCACCACTTTTTTTGTGGATCGAGTTTCCATGGATGAGTGTTTGAGATGGATTTAACACAATTTACTCACTGTTTCAAAACTGTGGCTGGGCAGATATGTGGCAGTAGGGAATGAGCCTTTCCTCACATCCTACAACAACTCGTTCGTAAACACGACTTTCCCAGCTCTTCAAAACATTCAGAACGCCATAAACGAAGCTGGGTTTGGGGACACCATCAAAGCAACTGTGCCCTTGAATGCCGATGTTTATGGTTCGCCCCCAGGCAACAGTGCCCCGTCTGCCGGCCGATTCCGAGCCGACATCTTACCTCAGATGAACCAAATCGTCGACTTTCTGCACCGAAACAACGCCCCCTTCACCGTCAACATATACCCTTTCCTCAGCCTCTACGGTAACGAGCACTTCCCGATCGACTATGCCTTCTTTGATGGGGGCAGTACCCCCATTGTCGACGGTGATATTCAATACACCAATGTCTTTGATGCCAATTTCGACACATTGGTCTCATCCCTAAGGGCGCTCGGTTATGGTGATATGCCCATAATCGTAGGGGAGGTCGGATGGCCAACAAACGGAGATATAAATGCCAATATTAACTACGCGTTACGATTCTACAGAGGGCTTTTGCCGAGGCTTGCGGGCAATAGGGGGACCCCTCTTCGACCGGGTTACATTGAGGTTTACCTTTTTGGGCTTCTTGACGAGGACATAAAGAGCATAG